CACCGCTCAGGCTCCACTGGACTGTTTTGGATTGCTAGCTATTTGGGGGGGGGGGAACGTGCAGATCTGTCCTCACAGAGGAGGGAGAGCTTGTACCTGAATAAAACTTGGGTCTTAAAGGTGCTACTGGACTGTTTTTTTGGGGGGGAGCTCTGCAACTTATCTGGCTGCTCCTTGCTCTGACTGAGGGCTGCTGGGAGCAGGGGGCGGGGCTTTTTGCATGTGCCCGCCCCCTGGCCTCTTTACTGCCAGAGCTCCGCTCCTGTGCGCTCTTGCAGGAAATGACCCCTGCATCATACCCTAATAACCCTTTAATGATGTCACTCACCTTGCTGGCTTACAGTGTTATGTATTTTATTATACATTACTAGGTATTTTATTGTATTCTTCCCTAGAAATGTTAATATTGAATTGTTAAATGTTTTACCAGTGACGTTACCCGCTCCGAGCCTGGATACAGGGGAGAGCGGGATACAAATCCAATAAAACAAAAATCAAAATCAATTCTCTCGTGCTTTACACTGCCTCTTCCTTAATTAGTTTATCTTACTGTATTGAAATCCCCCCCCCAGGTAAACTAGAACTTCTGACTTCTCTTATCTGTTATTAACGGCCCATGGAGTTCAGGTCCCACATTGAGAATCACACATGATTTATATCAGGCCTCTCTTTGCTCAACGCCTTGCTCTCTCCTCTCCCATAATTTTCCCATCCAACAACGAGGCAAATAGTTTTCTTTTCCCATTGTATCTGAGGAAGTGAGCTCTGACTCACAGAAACGTCTGCTGATATGTTAGCAAGAGGCTTCTTCTGCAAAAGCCCCAGATGAGTAAATGACAGATTCATATAATAGCTGGTAATGTCTAAGTAGAGACATCACCCTGCCAACAAAAGTCCGCATGGTCAAAGCAATGGTATTCCCAGTAGTCATGTATGGCTGCGAGAGTTGGACTATAAGGAAGGCCGAGTGCCGAAGAATAGATTCTTTTGAACTATGGTGCTGGAGAAGACTCTTGAGAGTCCCTTGGACTGCAAGGAGATCAGATCAGTCAATCCTAAAAGAAATCAACCCTGACTGTTCCCTGGAAGGCCAGATAATGAAACTAAAGCTCAAATACTTTGGCCACCCAATGAGAAGGGAGCACTCACTGGAGAAGACCCTGATGCTGGGAAGGATTGATGGTCAAAGAAGACGGGGACGGCAAAGGATGAGATGGTTGGACAGTGTCATAGATGCAACGAACATGAAATTGAGCCAACTTCAGAGGACAGCAGAAGACCGGAAGGCCTGGCGTGATCTGGTCCAGGGGGTTGCGAAGAGTTGGACTCGACTGTGCGACTGAACAACAACAACAACAATGTCTAATACCCAGGGCTTTTTTTTGTAAAAAAAAACCCAGCAGGAACTCATCAGCATAATAGGCCACACCCAACAGCAGAAACTCGTTAGCATATTAGGCAAACCTCGCTGCTTCTTCTACCAGCTTAGTACACTGACACCAAGCCTCAAAATGAGGAAAAAGGACTGTATGCGGCAAACGTCCCACAGCTAAACGGGATGTCTAAATCAAGACACACACACCCAGGGGTCATTCCGTAGAAAAAGAGGTGCAGGAGCTCATTAGCATAACTCATTAGCATAACTTATTTGCATATGCCACACCCCCTGGCATCACCGGAAGTGTGTCAGAAGGCAACACCCACCGCTCAGGCGCCACTGGACTGTTTTGGATTCCTAGTTTTTTTGTGGGGGGGAACGTGCAGATCTGCCCTCGCAGAGGAGGGAGAGCTTGTACCTGAATAAAACGTGGTTTTAAAGGTGCCACTGGACTGTTTTGGATTGCTAGCTATGGGGGGGGGAACGTGCAGATCTGCCCTCACAGAGGAGGGAGAGCTTGTACCTGAAAGCGGGATGGGGGGAGGGCTCTGCAACTTACCTGGCTGCTTCTTGCTCCTCGTGGCCTGACCGAGGGCTGCTGGGAGCAGGGGGTGGGGCTTGTTGCATGTGCTCGCCCCTTGGGCTCCTTACTGCTGGAGCTCCGCTCCTGTGTGCTCCCACAGGAAATGACCCCTGGCCTTTTCTCAAATCAGAGGTCTCAGTCAGGGAGCGTTGGGAAGGAAGGCATGGCAGTGACCCGTTAGTGGGGAAGCACAGGGCTTTTTTTGTGGAAAAAGCCCAGCAGGAAATCATTAGCATAACAGGCCACACCCAACAGCAGAAATTCATTAGGATTGGCTACATTAGGGATGTGTGGCCTAACATGCAAAGGAGTTCCTGCTACTAAAAAAGGCCCTGGGTTTGGACAACAAACAAGGTCAACAGAATAAGAAGCAAAAGGTGGGTGTGGCTGGATGAGCACACTTCTGGTAACATGGGGGTGTGGCCTATTATGCTAATGAGTTCTTGCTGGGCGTGGCCAACTTGGAAGCCAGCAGGAACTCTGTTCTTGTGCGTTCCTGCCCCAAAATAGCCCTGGTGAAGGCATCTAGTGACAAAATTCGGAATTGCAAGACAAGAAGTTTTGGACGCAAAATCTATCCGCTCAAATACCGCAACAGCAGGGCTTTTGGCGAGGGAGGAAAGGGTCTGGCTTGGAAGCCAGCCGGAACTCTGTTCCTGTGCGTTTCTGCCCAAAAATAGCCCTGCTAATACCTTATGGAATGAGTTACAGCACCTTCTTTATTGCCCAGTTCTTTCTTTCTT